AATGCCTTATATGCCAAATGAAAAGAAATTGGACTCCCAAACAGTGAGCAGCTACTTTATTGGCTATTCTAAAAGATCTAGGGGCTACAAATTTTATGATCCCAAATTAAATTAAATTTTTAAGACGGGAACAACCACATTCTTTGAGGATATTGAGTTTAGGGGGGAAGAATAAGGTTAGAGACTTTGTCTTAGAGGAAGAATCGATAACAATTCCAGAACCGATTCATATAGTTGCTTTTGATCAAGCAAGTACGGATCCTCCATAAGACATTGTTGTAATTACTCCAACTCAAGATGATTTGGTAACTCATGAAGAACAAACTCAAAATCCTCAAGAACAAGTGTTACAAGAACCAATACCTTTGCGGAGATCCACTAGAGAAAGGAGAAATACTATTTCAAATGATTACATAGTCTTTCTCCAAAAACATGAGGAAAATAATGGTATGATGGAAGATGGTCCAATCAACATCTGTCAATCCATGCAAGATTCCAACTCGGAAAAATGGATTGAATCAATGAAGGAGAAATATAAGTTCATGCAAGACAATAAAGTTTGGAAACTTGTCCCATTACCAGAAGGTGTGAAACCCATTGGTTGCAAATAGATTTTTAGGACCAAACGGGATTCTAACGGTAATGTGGAGAGGTATAAGGCTCGTCTTATGGCTAAGGGTCATACTCAAAAGGAGTGATTGACTTTAAAGAGACTTTCTCTCCAGTTTCATCGAAAGACTCTTTTAGGACAATCATGGCTCTTGTTGCACATTTTGATTTGGAACTCCATCAAATGGATGTCAAGATGGATTTCCTTAATGGAAACATTGATGAAACAATCTATACAATGCAACCATAAAACTTTGTGTCAGGAGACTCAAAGAATATGGTTTGCAAATTGACAAAATCCATTTATGGACTAAAGAAGGCATCTCGTCAGTGGTATCACAAGTTTCATGAAGTAATTCTCTCATTTGGTTTTGAGGTGAATATTGTTGAAGATTGTGTGTATCATAAATTCAGTGGGAGCAAGTACATTTTTCTGGTCTTGTATGTAGATGATATACTACTTGCCACAAATGATATAGGAATGATGCACGAAACTAAGAAATTTCTATCAAGAAATTTTGAAATGAAAGATCTTGGTGATGCCTCATTTGTATTAGGAATTTAGATACATCGAGACCGATCTCGTGGTATTATAAGATTATCACAAAAGAGCTATATCAAAAAGATACTTAAAAGGTTTAACATGCCAGAATGTAAATCAGGAGATACTCAAACTGTTAAGGGAGACAAATTCCGTCTCAGTAAGTGCCCAAAAGGAAACTTAGAAATTCAAAAAATATAAAAGATTCCTTATGCGTCAACAGTAGGGAGTCTGATGTATGCCCAAATGTGTACACATCTGAATATTGTGTTCATAGTTGGGATGTTAGGAAGATATTTGAGCAATCCAGGAATGGATCATTGGAATGCAGGCAAAAAGGTTATGAGGTATTTAAAGAGAACAAAAGACTATATGCTCACATATAGGATGTCAGACCAGTTAGAGATCACTCGATACTCTGACTCAGATTTTGATGTATGCCAAGACAATAAAAGATCCATTTTAGGCTATATTTACATGTTGGCTGGTGGTGCAGTTTCTTGGCGCAGTGCTAAGTAAACTCTTACGGCTTCATCTACCATGACAATAAAGTTTATAACATGTTATGAGGCATCCAACCATGGGATTTGGCTGAGGAATCTTGTCATTGGGCTGCAAATTATGGAAGGAATTAAAAGACCACTTAAGTTATATTGTGACAACAAATCAGTCGTCCTGTATTTCAACAATAATAGGAGCTCGACTAAGTCAAAACATATTGACATCAAGTTCCTAGTTGTTAAGAAAATGGTACAAAGTGGACAGATTTCCATAGAATACTTAGGGAGTAACTCCATGATAGCACATACTTTTACAAAAGGTCTTCCACCCAAGGTCTATCATGAGCACACTGCTCGCATGGGTGTTTTATCGTTAGAGGAGTCTTTGGTTTAGTGGGAGTTAGTCGATTATGAATTTTATGTTCTGTATTTGGTATTATGTATGCGTACTATGACTTTGGATATTTTCCCATTAATAAAGTTTGATATTCAATAGTTTACATTTTGTACAATAAAGTTATTGAATCATCTTACTAAAGTAAAGTAGGATCAGTTAAAAATTGGCATATACATACCAACTTCATGTGATTTTCATGTTGCACATTTCATGATGGATTTATGTCATTTAGTTGTGTCACTATTGGTGATCATTGATGGATTTAGTTATGATTGATATAACGAAAATCATCTTGATGCTGTATATTGACATGATTAATGGACATGATAGTTTGGATATGCTTGAAGTATGTAATGACAAATTTTGAGCTCATCATGTCTAACACTCACGTAAAGTTACATATGTGACAGTGGGAGATTGTTAGAATTTTGGGTCACAAATATAACATTTAAGGTGTTAGTGTCGTTATTTTAATTAGTCAAGACTTAAAAGAGTCTAATTAATATAATATTAAATTTGTGGCTAAAAGAATAAATGTCATGAAAGGTCACGTTATTGTGTAGATATCATAAATATCATAAATCAATATCTAATTTGTTGAGGGACAAAATTAGAATATTAAAAACTAAGAAATAACCCTAAAGTTATTTAAATGAGTTATGATCCCAATTTATAGAGAACGATCAAAATTACGGTTTATCAGGTTTTCTCTCTTCATCTCCATCAGAGGAGATTCAAAGAACCCTAAAAAACTCTACAAATTAAAAGATCACATAACCGCAACCTTCAACAATTTTAATGACAAATTATTCCGTCTTCATTTTCTAATTAAATTCTGATATAAATTTAAGAGTTTAAATTTCTATTATTGATTTTTATATTGATTTATAAGGTTATGAACAGACCCAACATATAAATAATATTATACCAATAATAATATTTCAATGAACACAAAGTTTATAAAATTTATTAGTGAACTGAAATTTATATGATATTTTTCATAAACATAAAACTATTTTATATGTTATTTAGACTCTTTAAAATTAAGGTCTTATGTGCTTTTATTGAGTTTCATCAAATCTTGCCGTGTCTCAGTAAAATAACAAATGATTTTTCAATTATGTATTTTTTTTTACGGCAAATGAATTTATTAACAAAAGGCATGAGACATGCCAGGAAAAAAAAGTGATTTTTCAATTATGTACAATTTTATATGTATCATCTACATGATATAAACATTCAATCTACTCGTTGATTTATAAAACTTGTAATTGTTAAATTATTGGTCGGTGTAACATCACTCAAATATTGCACTTATATATATATATATATATATATATATATATATATATATATATATATATATATATATATATATATATATATATATATATATATATATATATATATATATATATATATATATATATATATATATATATATATATATATATATATATATATATATATATATATATATATATATATATATATATATATATATAGATAGATAGATAGATAGATAGATAGATAGATAGATAGATAGAGAGAGAGAGAGAGAATTAAATGTTAAATGTTCATCACATGAAAATTTCTCAAAAGCGTGGTACTAAGCGAATGTCAATAAACTAAATCGACGCTAATTAAATGTTTGGGAAATTTTACCTCATACCCCTATATTTATACCCACACTTCTACACTAACAAATATTGGACCAAAATATCTTTGTTTAAATATTTATAATTTTAGAAAATTTTTCACTTTCACTTCATTTCCATTTCAACACTTCCGAAACATTCATTTTTCACATACAAACCGGAATTCTCCAACAAGTCATCCGGAACACATTTTTTGACCTACACATACCGGAACTCCAATAGTAAGTCTTCTGGTTTGATGAATTTTTTGGTTTGTTCACCGGAAGACTTTATGTATGTCTTCCGGTTTGTAGTTATTTTTGGTTTCTTCACCGGAAGACTTAATGCATGTCCTCCAGTTCATAATTTTTAGATTTTGGTCACCGAAAGTCTTTGATTAAGTCTTCCGAAACACACGTTTTACGTTTTGTTCACCGGAAGTCTTTGATCAAGTATTCCGGTTCATGTTTTTTTTTAATTTTTAATTTTTAATTATATTTATAAATTTATTTTTTTTGTCAGTGGTGCGCACACGAGGCAGAGATGGTAGGATCCCTCGTGGACTAGGACTGGGCGAGTCATCGAGAATGGCTGAAGAAGAGCATTTTGATGCATCTGCATCAGCATCTGAGCCTGTTGAATATCCAGGAGGACCGTATGATACCTCGCTTTTAGTTAAGTACGAATATCATGTTGCCAGACATATATGGTTCGGTGAGGTAAGTAAACGAAAATTATTTAATATTGAATAGAATTCGAATTTTTAATATTGAGTTTTATAATATATTTACTTTTAATTGTTTTCAGGAGAGAGGGTCGAAGAAAGAGTTAAAGGTAGCGGGACATGGCTTGAAGTTGATTCAGAGGGTTCCACTATAGCTACCCAGAGAGATGGAGGGCTGGATATCTAGGTCTGTTATAACTTCATTCCAGAGAACCAGTTTAACAAAGATAGACACGAACCTAGTTTCCGCATTTGCAAAGAGATGACATCTAGAGACATCTTCATTTTACATGATGTTTGGTGAGATGACGATTACTCTAGATGACGTATCTTGTCTGCTTCACTTGCCCATCAGGGGAGTCTTCTAGAGCCCTCAAGATATCAGTGAAGCGCTTGCTGTTAGTGGGCTGTTGATTATTTAGGAGTGTCACAGAGAGTAGCACAACAACAAGTTCGTGACTGCAGGGGTTCCTACTATAAGTTGGAGCGGTTATATGATCGATTCGTAGAGCACAGAGCTGCATCTAGATAGGATTATGCCACTAGAGCTTATTTGTTGATGTTAGTGGATTCCACTACTTTTGCGGACAAGATGTTTACGCTTGTCGAGGCACGACACCTCTCACTATTTATAGACTTGGATGACTTATTAGGATACAGTTGGGGAGCAGCTGTGTTGGTTACTCTTTATAGATATCTCGGAGATGCTTCCATGTTCAGTTGTAAGAAGCTTGGTGGTTATCCGACTTTCCTACATGTATTTATTTTAATTTAGTATATTTTGTTTTAATTAATTATATCTAGTATATTAATTTTATTTATCTAGTTTATTATGTTATAATTAATTATTTTAAATTTAGTAACCATATTAATTTTGTAATAGTGCTGGATTCATGAGTATTTTCCAACACTTGGAAAAAGAAGAGAGAACTGGATACCAGCTAATAATGTGAGTCTCCCTCGAGCGATGAGATGGTCCTATAGGCAAGGTTCCTTGAAGGTGGATGACTTGCGACCTATTCTGGATGAGCTGACACCTGTCGATGTCATATGGCGCCCATTCGAGAATCATAGAGTATGGCGTCAGTTTGATGAGTTATGTCTCTATAGGGGGTGTCTGAGGTGGGGTGACACTATTGTTCCATACTTGCCTGACAGATGTATGCGTCAGTTTGGATACAGGCAGTATGTTCCACATCCATCTCTTAATTCTCGAATGGCTGGTGATATTGATGTTGACTGGATTAGTTACCATCAGAGCGTTCAGGATGTGATTCGTCCGACAGCACCAGCCACCACCCCATATGAGACAGATGATGGGTATCTTGAGTGGTATTATCGTGTTTCACATCCTCGTCTGATACCGCCCAATGTTGATGTGACAACAGAGATTCCAGTTCTTGTATATGAAGCAGGACCATCTGATCCTATAGTCGCTCGTATGTCTTCATTGATTCATCGTTATCTTCAACAGGCTGGTGCTGAAGAGGATGACCCACAATTTGCTGATTTGTTCGAAGCTTTACATCTTGGTCGATCACAGTGACTTATATTTATATTTATGGTTGTATGTTTAACTTTTAGACTCGTTTGACCTAATTGGATTATGTTCATGTGTTAACTTTTAGATTTATTTGACCTAGTTGGTTTATGTTTATGTGTTAACTTGTAGCATGAAATAAAAAATGAATAACATAATTCACGATTCATGTTTTGAAATTAAAAATGAGTAACATAATTCACGAGTCATGTTTTGAAATAAAAAATGAGTAACATAATTCACGATTCATGTTTTGAAATAAAAAATGAATAACATAATTCACGATTTGTGTTTTGAAATTAAAAATGAGTAACATAATTCACGATTCGTGTTTTGAAATAAAAAATGAGTAACATAGTTTATAATTCATAATGCGTTGGTAATATAGGCGTAAGTTGTTGCCAATGTTGTAGACGTCCTGCAAATCCTATCATCCAAGATGTTGCTGCTGGAGAACGAAACTTCTTCCAATCTACTGTCACTGGTGGCAATGGAAACCCTTCTTTCATGTTTACCTAAATAAAAAAATAATCAAAATATTAAGTAAAAATAACAAAAAAGAATTAGGTTTAATTGCATTATCTAAAAACAACTAAGTACCTGAACCCAATGATTTATGTTTACAAAACCAATGCAGTAAATTGATACATTTGGTGAAAATGAAGTTGTCATAGGGAAGAAAGTCCAGCACTCAATTCCTAAACAGACAAGTACAACATTATAACGATTCGCTATCACGTAACCCATATCTGGTAGAGTTAACCATTTATGTGGTGGTTGAGGACCAAATTCCTCTATCATCAAAGATTCTCTCACTACTGCTAACTGATCAGTAAATAAATTGGCATACAAACTTGATCTTTCATTATGTATTATTTCCAACCCCAAGTCTCGATGAACCATTGGCCAACCATCTTCACCATATCCATGCAATGAAGCAATGAATCTAAATCCACAATTACCATCTGATACAACATTAATTACATCATCAATATATGACCTGATGTGATTAGGAAACTGAAGGATGAACTGCTTAGATCACTGTGAGGATTGTGATAATTTCAACTTCTTCGAAGCCTGTGATGGTTGAGATTTCTTTTGTGAAAATTGTGATAATTTCAAATTCTTCGAAGTTTGTGATGGTTGAGATTGCCTCTGTGAAGATTGAGATGTGAAATTATGGTATGTAGATCACATGTGTTCCAAGAACATTGATCTCTGCTCAACAAGGATGAGGACAAACCATGGCCAATTTAAATTTCTTTAAATTGTCCCAATGTCATTATCAATGTCACGACCTCTGTTGTGACATCTACAGTCTGTCATGCTATTTATCTAACCATTTAAAATACAGAATTGTAAATGCAGAAAGATAAATAACACAGTAATTGTTCACCCAGTTCGGTATCAACAACACCTACATCTGGGGGCTACCAAGCCAGGGAGGAAATTCACTATTAGTAGAATCAATTCAAAGTCAAACCTCCAATTTTCACTTCTCACTTAATCTCTACCCAATGACACTTCAGCCTAGAGACACTCTAGTACCTGAGTATACCCACTCACTCCCCCACTATCACACAATTGTGATATCAAACAATTACAAAAACAGTATGAAGAGACACTTCATACATACCTAGATCTTGCTTCACAGCTTTGATCAAGGAACTCACACACTCTTGCTTCACAGCTTCGAGTGAGACACAACCTAGAATCTACCAAACCTAACCAATCATCCACCAGACAATTGCTTGGATTACAAGTATTCCTAAACAGACTTTGCACGTGAAGAACAACCCTCTTCACTTACAATCATGTCTACCACAATGTATCAAAAGATACAAAGGGTGACTTATACACAAGGGACTCTCAACCCTAGACCTCTATTTTACACTCTGATTTTTCCTGATGTGAGTGCTTGCTTTTCTTCTACTTCTGCTCCTCCTTTTATAGTCGTGCAGACTGGGCTTGGGCTGTGCAGAAGTAACAAATATTAGTTTTAATAAATCAAAACTAATTTCCACAATTCAAGGTGTTGTCCAATTAGGTCATGGCATGGTCAACATTGCCTTGAATCTCTCCTGAGATAACTCAGAAGTCATAACATGTTTCCTGATATTTAGCCTGATATAAATCAAGTATCATAACAGAAAAACAAACTCAGCCCGTCTCATGTCATACGATCCATGTCATGACATTCAGCTTTTGCTCACTCTTAGCTGACCAGCTTGCTCTGCTGCACACTCCTGCTGAATCTTCTTCATGACAGTAGAAACAAATGCTTTATAGTTCCCTAAAAAGTATCAACGATCCCTTTTGTGAACACCCATCCAATCTGCACTTTGTTTCTAACAAATCTCTTTGGCCTGTACATATTGATGTGGAATATCCAACAGTACCAAAACACTTCTGTCAAGAGATATATCATAGCAGCCCCTGTTGTACCATACATGATGTCATACGATCAATGTCATGACATTCAGTATGACATTCATGACAACAGTTCTTCATGACATCAGTTCTGTCATCTGCTCTTGTTAGCTCCTGCTGCACATAGCTCTTGCTGCACCAGATGTAATGACATCCCATTTACAACACATGACAGCATAACAACAGTTCTTCACCAGCTTCTGCTATCTCCTGTTGCATCAGTAGCAGTGTCCTGAGTCATAAGCCCCTGCTACACCACTACTCCTGCTGTTTCTCACACATGACAGTAGCTCTGTCATGACAGCAGATGGATGTCGTGATGGATGTCACGACATTCAGCATGACACTCACCTTAACACTCTCCACAATAGTTCTTTCACCACAGCAGATGGTGATGTCATAATATCCTGCTTAACATCAGTGCGGGATCATGTTTTACCAAAATTTAGCCAATCCTAGAACCATAGAACCATGGTACTAACAATCTCCCCCTTTGGCAAATTTTGGCTAAAACACCCAAGCAACTTATCAGGGCAGCAACAGTAGTTTACACAAACTATCATGCTCCCCCTTAATAGTTGAATCCAGTAGCAACAGCATAGCAGCAATAATGCTTTCTCCCCTTTGGTTTAGTCAAAACTTTGACAACAAATGGTGTAATTGTACAGTCATCTCACCATTTCCCAAGACATACACAAGCTGCTTGACCTCTCCTCAAGACTGCACCTCTTCTGCATCAATCCATGTATAGAGCCTTAATTCCCCCTTTCTGAGCTCACTCAGCAGTGTAACACCAGTACTGAATCATAACTCCTTTAGAGTACCCCCTGAACAGTTTTGAGTCTTGAGCTCTTGCCTTTGTCTGAAGTTGCACCTTTAGGAAGGACAGTTTTGACATCCCCAATTAAAGGATAATCAATTAAATACTTGCCACAAGTAACAATTGATCTTAAATCCCCAATTTGAGACACAAATATTTTATGGAGAAAAATAAATTCTCCCAAACAAAACCAATGTTGTTTCCTAGGTCAGTCATCACAGTCCTAGTTCAAACCAACATCAGTGGCCCCAAGAAAACAAGCTTGCCTATGTACAGGGCTCCATGTCAGCAGCTACACAACAGACAGGTACACATCTTCCCCTGTCATGCATAAACATTACTCCCCCAGAAAGAGAGAGCCCATCCATATGAAGATTTACTTCAACATCTTCATATTCACACACTGGAAGCACATGCATCTCTGCACCCTTTGATTCACAACCCAAACTGGAACCAATATCAGAAGCAGTTGCAGGATTACTATCTGGAAGACTTTTCAGGGTGAAAGTCCTTTCATTTGCACATGATCAAGGTTGCTGATGTCTTGATCTTCATCTTCATATTACTCCCAACAATGCTTGTGCAAGTCTGATTTGATCCATTTGCACTTGAGGACAGACCCAACAGGAATGCACTGTCATGTTCAACATGAGCTAGAGTAGTAACTCAATGTCACAATATCTTGTGTGACATTCCACCTTCGCAAAACTCAAATTATTTGAACCTACAAACAATTTTGATACATAGCTGCACTCTTGCAGCAACAGGTCCTGGATAGAAGTATAACTCCCCAAATTAAGGGTACCTAGTGCACATGAATGGAAAACATAAGACGCATCTTCATGTCTTCAAGAACTCATTCTCTGTTCAACCCACATGTTGAACGCATTCACATACACCATGCTTGAACCACAAGCACTTAGTACTCCCATCAAACAGAAGCTCTCCCCCTATCTTTGATCACACCATTATCTCTCATGACCAACTCCATGCTCATACAGAGAGAAGGCACCAAACTGATTCACCTCTTCCTAGAGTTACTTGTAGCAGAAGAGACCACTTCTCCACAAGTATTCTGGCCTTAGGTTGAGTACAAGATAGACACTGCATATGGACTTTATCACATCAGAATGCACTCAATACCTTCACATCACAATCCAAGACAGTCCTTTTACCTTATCATTCTCCCGTATGACAAGATAGAGTACTTCTTAGCCAAGAAGTGAATCACAAGTTCCACAAGAGATCTTCACCTATCAGATGGTTCATATCACAGACACACAATCCCATGGTTCTTTATGTGCCCATACTAGACTTACTGCTACCTAGTAGTCCAACTGAAGATCTTCACAGCTCCACCAGCTTGATCAACTCCGTCTCCACAAGAAGGTAATCTTCTATACACAGCTTAGGGCTTCTACTACAAGCTCCAATATGTGAACAGAAACAGATCCTCCTTTGGTCTTCAACCAATTACCCTTCTGCACATGAGTAAATAGTTCCAAGCATGAACAGTCCCAGACCCTTCTGTGGTCTTCAAATAACTACCCTTCTACACAAGAATAGTTCTCTAAAGGTTCACTACTCAAATAAACAAATGTCACTGTTTGGTTATTCAACATCTTTCAGAGTTCTGGAAAGGCTGCTAGTCCACCAGGCCACTTTGATCTTCAAATTCTTCTTGCTCCAAAGCAAGGCATCTACTCCTTCGCACAGCTCCCGCAAACTGCATGAGATGAAGCATTCATTTCATTCA